CCATGGCTGAGACAGGGAAGGGACAGGGGTTGTTTAGGAAAAAGAGGCTTAATTTCAGGTGAAAGGTTGAGCTGCCACTTGCCAAGGAGCAGACACATCTTTGGGTTCTAGAGGACTTGGGGCAGGCTGTGATGGTTCCCTTCAGGCTCTGTCTGGGTCACTGGGTGATGCACGCTCTGGTTCTGGCCACCACATTTGGACACTAGTCCTCCCACCCTCTGGCCATTATTCCTCCACAAAGACTTTGCCAGTCTTCCTAGAATAGAGACAGGGGGTAGACGAGAAGGCCTGAAACACCTTTTGTATTAGAAATGTGATTCTGGCTGCCCCCATGCCTCTGTGCAGCTCTGACAGCTTGGAGGCACACTGTGTGACCTCTCTCTCCTCCCCCATCCTTCCCTTCTCCCCTCGCCCACCATCTGATGCTGGGGATGGAACTCAGAGCCTCCAGCTTGCTAACCAAGCACTTCATCACTGAGCTATACACTCAGTCCTCTGTGCCTTCCATGAGAAATCCCACCTTCTCCCTGTCCAGGGTTCCTGTAGAGCATGACCACCCCACAGGATCCTGGCTAGGCCTGTGATTCTGGTGATAAACAAACAGCATGAAGACATTGAGGCTCATCTAGGACTGGGATGGGTCACCTTTATCAGGTGACCTTCTTACACTTTAAAAGGAACTTTGGGGGCTGTCGTAGCTCAGTGGCAGAGCGCTTGCCTAGCACGTGTGAAGCACTGGGTTTGATCCTCAACATCACATAAAAATAAATAAAATAAAGGTAGGTATTGTGTCCATCTACAACTAAAAATTAAAAAACCAAGAAGCAACTTTGTAGAAGTAAGGACTCATTTAGAGGGACCCACTAGGGTGGCGGTTAATTCCAGTACTTATGTTCCTTCTAATAATGGTGGGACCTGGTCCCTCAGGCCCCTGTTTGGTGGACCTATGGCCAGCAGACCTTTGAATGGAAAGGCAAGGACAAGGATGTTTTGTGAAGGAGAGAGATGAGCTGGAGCAGAGATCCTTGCTTTCAAACATATGTGTCAAAGACCTGCTCTGGGCCAGAAGTTGGATGTCTGTGGAGCCAAGTTCAGCAGGAAGCCAAGAAAGCAGGAAGGACCACAGAGGAGCTCTAGGAGCTAGTGGTGATCTTGGGGAGAACAGTTTCCTGGGAGGATGTGGAATAGCAGGCAGTAAGGATGAAGGTCAGAAAATGGACCTCTAACTGAGGATCACAGAGGCTATTTCTTAAACAAGGAAATTCCCATTCTAACCTGTTAAGTGTAAGAAAACCCCATTTTCAAGTTCATCTCAGATGGGCCTGCAGACCATGCTTTCAAAAATGGGTCTACTATAGAAGAGTCTAGCTCGCCTAGCCATGGTTCAGAACTTCACAGTGGTCCTGAGGTCCTTGCCCATCTCCTTCTGGGCCCTCAAGGCAATCAGGTGATGTGGACCCCTGTGTCCTGTTCCCCCAGCCTGTTTGTTCCCACCGTGCCTGCTTCTAAGGGTTCAGTTGGTCTTGCCTGGAGTTTCTGCTGCTTTGCATTACAAGGGGAGCTCCTGGGGCTCAGGCCCCAGTGGGGTCCTCCAGCACCATCGTTTGCTATTGTGAGGCACAGTTACTGGATGCAGGCATGGCAAATGAAGAGAAAAGGAGTCTTTGGAAGCCATACCCCCAGGGAGGCCTGTTCTTAGTAGGTGGGGCCAGAAAGCTAGAAAAATAATAAATAAAAATAAAAGTGAAGAGAAGCAACGCTCTGGAGTGCCAGAGCAGGGCTGGCCGGGGCCATGGCTGTCTGAGTAATGGGTTCCACATTTGTCTGGCTCTGTCTGCAGCCCAGCCACCAAGATCCCGGGTGCACAGTGGGCCTTGCAAGGGCCGGAGGGGACAGCCCAGCTGTAGCCAGACCTAGCATACCCTTTTGATGGCCCCATCCCTGGCTGGCCACCACATGGCTGAGATGTTGCTGCAAGCTCACACTCCAGCACCCCAGCCTTCCCCCCACGAAGTCCCACCCCTGCCTGAGGCTCCTGGGTTCCTGCCGGCCTGCACAGATTGTTCGTGTTATTAATGCCGTTTTCCCAGAGATTCCATCTGGCTTTTTAATTGCTCTGGGATGGGGCTAGGATGCTTTGATAGTGAATTGGTATCTTTCCTATGTCTCAGTTTACGTCAAATGCTCCATCCACACAGAGGGGTATGGGTGGGGAAGGGGGGAGAGGTGGGGATGTTGAGAGAGATGAGAGCAGGAGTCTTTCACATTATCTAGAAAAAATCTTTCAGACTGGGGGTATAACTCAGTGATAGAGAGCTTGAGGCCCTGGGTTCAATCCTCAGCACTGTATAAAAAGGAGGAGGAGGAGGAGGAGGAGGAGGAGGAGGAGGAGGAGGAGGAGGAGGAGGAGGGAAAAAAAGAATATATCTTTTTTTTCAAGGTGGTGGTGGCTCAGTTTTATTTGAAGGAAAAAAGGGGCTTTCTCTACCCATCAGCATAGAAAAGGAACAGTTGAGAGTCCATCCAGCAAGGACTCTGCCCCGGGTCTGCAAAAGGCCCGTGGATGCCTGGGAAGGAGAGGCCTCTTTGCTAAGCTAAGTCAGGACTTCTGCTCCCCCTTGACCTTCACCGTGAGGGGCCCCCCTCCCCTCTTGTGAAATCAACAGCTCTTGGAGGAGGCCTGGCAGGTTCCTGCCTGGGAAGGAGGGGGCGGGAGACCTGGGAGGGGCAGACACTCCTCACCAGTCCCAATGGCTCATCATCCGCAGGTGTTGGGGCCAAACCCTATGCTCACAGATTCCCAGGAGATCCAAGAGATAAGGGTGACATCGTGACAGCACTAAACCATCAGGAAGCATCTGGTGGCAAAGGAGTGGCCTCTCTCTCCCCCTTGTACCCTTGTTCCTTTCCTGAAGGCTGTCTCCCCTGAACTGTGTTGTCAGGGGACACAGGGATCAAGAGTAGCCGGGAGAAGTAGAGAGGTCCCTGCAGTCAGGCACTATCTGTCATGGGGAGATCTGTGCAAGGCAGAAGCATTCAGGGATCTTGGGACTGGCTCCAGGTTGGTCTGCCCTCACCAGGTGCTGGGTCAAAGCTGCAGCCTCCAGGGAGCCTTCCCTGATGGACCTATCCCCCTATTGCACTTGTCACCTTGACACCATAGCTTGAGGCCTAGAGACTGTGAGCTCTCCAAGGGCAGGAGCAGAGCCTGCTTGTTCCTAGTGAGTGCCCTGATCTTTAGCACAGGCCCTGGTATACAGTAGGGATCCAGTAAATACTTGGAGTGCATTCAATGCCAGGGCTTTTGGAGTGTTTTTTCATAAAGGTGAAAGTCAGGAGGGGAACCCTGCAGGAAGCAGTGGGTGTCCAGAAGTGGCTGTCCCTTGGGGTGAACTCTGACTGGGCACAGAACACACTTGGCAGTTAACCCCGCTCTGTCCCAAGGGCTCTGCGCCCTCTAGCAGGCCACACTGTCTACTTTGGGTCATAGTGGGGACCTCACCCTCCCCATTCCTTTTCCTGGGGCCTGGTGTGATTGAATTCGTGTTGTCCCCAACACAGCCCACCCTGGACCTCAGAGTGTGCACAGGAGGGGCACCCTTCCAGGAGGATAGCTTTGGAAGCCCCTGCAGGGATGGCCCAGCAGGAGGCAGAGGGAGAAGGGAGGGCAGGAGGGTCACCCCTCCCCCACTCATCCTGGGACCTATTCTGGGGGGCAAAGAGGGAAGCTAAGGATCAGCCCCTCCAAACAAGAAAAACTGGAATTAGCACTGAACTCAGAGAGGGTTTGCTGGGCCTAGCAAGCTGAGGCCTGCCCCAGCCTCTAGGCAGGCGGTGGGGCTCTGCCTCCTTGGTTCCCAGGGTGGCGGGGCAGGCTGCCGCCTCCTCACTGGGCTTGTGGCCTTTCCTCTGCCAAGGGTGGCCATGGGTGAGGAGGCAGCAAGGCACAGGACAGGGTGGAGGGGAGGCGGACAAGTTAACCACATAGGCAGGTAATGCTAAAGCCTTCAGAGCTAAAAGAATACACAATTTCTCAAAAATGCTCCGGACCACATTGGCATATCCTGGAAGGTGCTCGGTGAGCACTCTCGTGGCGGAAAGAGGTAAAAAGTGTTTTATCTTAGACCCGCTGAGAGAATGGAATCTGAGAGTGGTGGTGGGACCTGCCTCCTGAACTAAGGTGGGGGTGAGGTCCGCCCTCCCTAGGTTGGCTATCACTGCTGCTAAGGGGATGCTGCGGCACCTGTGCTCATGGGACAGTCATCACAGTGTGTGTGTGTGTGTGTGTGTTGCAGGTGGTACATCAGGTCCCAGCCTTGTGCTTGAGACAGGTGGGAACAGCAGAGCAGACAGATGCTGGGGTCAGCTCCTGGACAGGTATTATGAGAGGCTTTCTGGGTGGACTCGGGCAAGGTAGATATGGAGAACTGGTGGAGGGGAGCTTAGCCTTCAGGCGGTCCTTCTGGGCATGACTGGGGTAGGTCACAGCCATGTGGCCCAGGAAAAGCAGGCAGGGGTAGAGGGTCCTACCACTCTGGGCCTTTTCCTGCCCACCCGGGGTCCCACGGAATGCTGGAGTGAGGCAGGTATGAGCCAAGGTGCACCAGAGTTGGAACTGAGTGATTTGGAAGTGAGGATGACCAAAGGGTCCCTTGAGCCTAGAGCTGCTGGGTAGGCCCATCTTTTAGGCAGAGGGCTCCTTCTCTGGGGTCCTTCTTCTCCTGGGGCAAATGAGAGGCCACACCAAAGCCTCAGCCCCGTGACCCTTCCACTTTCTCTTCAAGTTCTGGGCATTTTCAGCTTGGAGCCTTGTCCTCTTCCTGTTATCTATGTGTCTTGCTTGGGGGGAAGTAAGTCACCCTTTAAGTTAAAGAGGGGCTCAGGAGATGCTAATTCATCAGGATCTCAGCCACAGCAAATGCTATAATGATCTGCAAATGTGACCTGCCCACAAGAAACCCCAGAAGTAGCTTATTTCTGTTTTTAAAAAGACACCAAAATTTACTTTGATATGTTTATATTATAGATATCATACATAAAACATCTAGCATGAAACTCTTACGTTCTCCCCAAAAGAAGAGAACCAAGCAGTCCTTCCCTGCTCCCAACCCCAGAGATATGTACGTGTTGGTTGGAGGTGGCCTTCCCTCCAGACCACCAGCCAGGGCCTCGGAGGGGATAAGCCCACCGGCAGCCCCATCCAGAGGGAGCTGAGGCCCACAACTAGGGCGAGGGAACGCCAAGGGGAAAAGGGAGGCCCACCTCACCTCAATGGTCCCCCGGGAGCAAAAGCAACCCCAAAACCAAAAGGAAAGAGAGCCTCAGACCCTTCCCCCAGCTGCTGACAAAGAGTCTCATTTTGGCAAGTATCTGAGCAAAACCAAAACAAAACAAAAACCAAATAAAATGGTGGTTTAACATAGACGAGCACATTCACATTGCACAAGGCACCGCTGGGACACAGAGGCCAGATACAAAAGTTGATATCGGCTGATAAAGCAAAATATTTGGGAAGCTTGTCATAACTCCGGTCCCTCTGGGATAGACTGTGCTTCATGTTCTTATGGCAATGCTGGCGACATACAGTACAGACAAGGCCGATGGTCCCAGTGTCCCTTCACCCCCCACCCCAAGACCAAATCTCTAGGTTCCCCTCTTCCACCAGGCCACCGGTCCCTTGAACACATGTCCTTTATAGCTAACCCACTACTTAGCTTTATGGTCTGAATGGGGGTAGGGGACTCTTACTAGTCACCTGGTGAACCCCATCTCTGTGAGTGCTAACTCAGGAAGCCCAGTCTGTTGTAGGCCTGCTGGGGTGGTGGTCGAGGTGGGAGAGGCAAGGAATTAGGGACCCTCTACCTCATTGTAGAACGAGGGGAACAACCCGGGGTTCAAAGCCCCAACTTCTTAAGTTCCTCCCCTCTAAGGACAGGCACAGAGGAGAGGCTGGGGCTGGCTTGTCTGCATCTCAGCTTCCTGAACCTTCCTCCTGCCGTGGCCTGCACTCTTCCTTCTCTCGTGGGAGCCTGCTGCAGCCTCAGAAGAGGCAGGAACCCTTCAAATAAAATGTCAAGGCACATATTCGCTCCCCCTACTCGGTAGGAATCGGAGCTAGCTTGCATTTCCAAGGCACAATGTTATTCCTTAATACTAGAGTTGCTGGGCTCCCCGGTCAGCCCCACGGAGAATTCGGAAAAGCCACTGCCTGACTCCCTCATCTTAGACGCACCGAGTCCGGCTCTGAGGAAGGGAGGGGACACGCGGAACAGGCCAGGCTTTCAGTCGGCACCGGAATCTCCTAGTCCTGGCTTGCACGGCCCCGGGAAGCCTTGAGATCCGGCGATCCGAAACCACTCCTCAGGTCCCCGCCAGGGGCCGGCCCAGGGCGGTCCCGCAGCCGCGCGCCTCACGCGCAGTTGCCCATGGCCTTGACCAAAGAGCTCTCTGGCAGCTGGCGGAAGATGCCCCGCAGCGTGTCCAGTTCCCGGCTCAGCTGTTCCACCCGCTTGCGCAGGCGGTCATTGTCACTGGTCAGCTCTAGCACTTTCTGCTGCGTCTCCACGTTGCGCTGCTTAGCCTTGTCGCGGCTCTTGCGCACCGCGATGTTGTTGCGCTCGCGCCGCACCCGGTACTCGTTGCTGTTCTTGTCCACCGACTTCTTGGCCTTGCCCGCGCCGCCGCCGCCGCCTCCCGCGCGGAGGTCAGGGTGCGCAGCTGGCAGCCCCTTGAGCGCGCCGCCCGGGCCCGGGAGGCCAGCGGCGCCGAGCGCTGGCGCTGGGTGCGGGCTGGGCACGGGCGTGGGCGGCGGCGTGGGGTGGCCAGGCTGCAGGTGCATGGTGGTCTGGCCGCAGTGCGCGATCTGGAACTGCAGGTGCGGGGCGGCCAGGTGCGCAGGCGGCGGGTGCGGGTGTGGCGGCGGCGGCGGCGGTGGCGGCTGGTAGGGGAAGAGGCCGGCCAGCGCCAGCTGCTTCGCCTCGTCCTCCTCGCGGGGCTCCTGCTTGATCACCAGCGGCCGCAGCGCCGGTGCCCCGACGCGCTCGTACAGGGGCTCCAGCCTGCCGTCCAGGTAGCCTGCCGCCGCGCAGCCGTAGCCGGGAGGGGGGCCGTGCGCACCCCCGGACATGACGGCGCCTCCGGGACCCACCGGGGCGCCCGGGTAGTCAAATTCGCCGCTGCCGCTCGCGGGGGCCGCGGCCGCCTTGGCCTTCTCCTGCTGCCGGCTGTGCTGAAACAGGTCGGCCAGAAACTCGTCGTTGAAGGCGGCCGGGTCGATGTAGGCGCTGATGTCGATGGACGTCTCGTGTTCGCAGATGCCGCCCAGCGGCTCCGGGGCGGCAGGTGGGGCAGGGGGCTGCGCAGGGCCCGCGCCCCGGGGAAAGCCGAAGGCGGCGCTGTTGGGCGCGTGCGGGGGGCTCTGGAGGTGGCTGCTCATCGGGGGCCGCGGCTCCGCCTCGTAGAAGTCGGCCGACTCCATGGGGGAGCTAGAGTTCTCCCGGCATGGCGAGCCTCGGTGGCCTCCAGCCTGCGCGGAGCGCCGCTGCTGCCACCGCCCACCCGGAGCCCCTACTGGCTCGCGCCCGCGCAGCTCCGGGTCGCGAATGGCCAGGCCCGCGCGGGCCCCGCTTTTATACGGGGTCAGCCGTCGCCCCCTGGTGTCCAAGCTGGTCTCTGACCACGGGCGAAGGCAAAGTGGCGCCTGCTGGGTCTTAGCGCCCGCCTATTGGGAGGAGCGGGGTGAGTGGGGCCGCAGCGCCGAGCTAGTCGAGAGGACTGTGGCGCAACGCCCACTACCTCTTACGCCGCAAGTCGAACCCCGGCGCCACAGGGTGCCCCTCCCCCGGCGGGGCAGTAGCCCCCACGCACACGTGGTCGGTGGCTGCGCCCGTTTTTTAGCTTCCCCAAAGCACCCACTTCCAGTCAACGGCCCAGGAGCCCCGGAGCATCCAGAGGCCGCGCAGGGGGTTGGTGGAGGCGAACCTTGGTCTTGAGCTACCAGGGCACGGACTCGCCTTACACCTTAGGACCAGGCCTGTCGGGACCCGGGTTTCGGGAAGGCTGTTGCTTAGAGCGGCGGCGCGGGGGGCGGATGGGGACAGCTTCGCGAAAACCAGCGCGCACTGCCGTGTGAAGGGGCCTGGGGGCGCGCAGACTCTCTGTCTTCCACCTCCGATCCTCAGGCGGCTCCCGCTGATCCTAGGCAGAAGCACTTTTCCCCAGCTCTCTCTCTTCTCTCTTCTCTCTTCTCTCTTCTCTCTTCTCTCTCTCTCTCTCTCTCTCTCTCTCTCTCTCTCTCTCGTATTCTGGAGTCCCACGGGCTCAGCAGCGCAGGGCGCTAGGACCCGGCAGGAGCGAAGGCGTCCGCAGCCCGGGATCCAGTAGAACCCGGCCGGTTGATCCGCCCCGGCTGGAAAACTTTCTTTTTAATTACTTCTTCAGCCTGGAGAGTGAGGGTTGCTTGGCGCACTAGGCAAGTGCTACTACCCGGTGCCGAGCCGCCAGTTTTTGACTTTGGGGCAGGCGGGTGGGTCCCCAGGGCTGCCCGAGCAGCACACACCGGGCGAGCGCAGGGGCGCGGTGGCAGTGGTGGGTGCGGGTGGGTGGGGGTGTCGTGGTGCACTGAGAGGAGAACTTGACTCCTGGACTGGAACCCCGAGGCCCGCAGTCTTCGAGGCCCGAAGCCACGCTTTCTTTCCCTGTTCCCATTCAGGTGGGCGCCAACGACGGGGCTGGGGTGTGGAGGGAGTCAGGGCCACAGAGTCAGAGCACCCTCTGGGGACTCTGCCGCGTGCTTCGCACCCTAGAATCCTCAGGGTCGTCGCGGCCCCCTCGGGCACCGCCCATCTCCGCGCTCCTAGCTGCGGGTAGAAGGAGTTTGTAGGCAGTCTCCCCAGCCACGTGGCGTCCCGCTCCTTCTCTACACGGATCGTGGCGGCGGGGGTGGAGTGTGTGTGTGTGTGTGGGGGGGACGGATGGGGTGTCGCTAGCACGCAAGTCTCTTTTGCCTCTGTCCTGTTAGCTCCTTGCGGCATCTTGAGCTAAGGTACGATGCCCGATGCCCGCTTCCTGTCATCCCGCGGGTGCTCCTTGGAGGTGCGCCTTTCTGAGGGTCCCCCGGCTGCTGAGCGGGTCAAGACCCTCGCACAGCGGCCTTCGTAGGCCAGGCAAGGCGCAGCGACCCGCCCGGAGGCGCAGCTAAAAAAAAAAACGAGGCTGAGGAGGCCTGAGCTAACACTGTGGTCACAGAACCAGCTTTGTCTGGGGAATGCATCCTATGCTTTAATCAAGTTCCTATTCAATAGAGTTCCAGTGATTAATGGCTCAACTACTTCGTTTTTGGTCCAAAGCTCATAAACAAGTTATTTTTAGTTTGATGCTTTTGGACTGAGGGAGTCAAAAAAGCAGATATATTAAATAAATAACCTACTATAAGCTGAGGAGTGCTCTCTCTGGGCCAGAAACGGACCCATTAATATTCCATGCACCTGTGGAAGGAGACCTAGAGGGAAATTCAAAAGGCCAAGAGGGATTTTCAGTTTTCCTACAGTGCTGAAAATAATGTCTTTTCCCAGTGTAGGAACAAAGAAAACATTGAAGAAAGTGGCCCTTTCCTAGCATAGAGAGACACAGAGAGAAAGATGACACCTGGGCAGGGAGAGGGAATTCTCTTAGGACCAAAAGATTGGGCAGCATAGGAATAAGGCCTTCTCCAACAAGGAAGGGTCTGCTGAGTGTGTGGGTGAGGGAGGCAGGAAGAAGGGCTCCTACCCAAGGGCTGCAGGTACTTCAACAGTGGAACCAGAATTCACCTGCCCAGGCCTGCCCTGACAAGTTACTGAGTTCCCAGATGAGTGAGAAGTGGCTCTTGCTCTCGGAGGGTACACAACACAGGCAGGGAGACAGACAGGTCGTACATAGAGTCATCTGAGAAGAAAGGGTCTCTTCACAGAGGAAATTGGCACCAAAACAGCAGGGGCAGGGCCTTACCCACGAATTCATCCCATTCCTTAGAGACATGGGTAGGGATTAAGGGTAGATGTGCTGTGATCAAGAGACATCCTGCCCTGATAAAAGCCACTGTCTTTGGAGAGGTACAGTGGACTGAATTGTGTCCCTTCAAAATTCAAAAACTGAAGCCCTAATCCCCAACATGATGGTGTTTGGATATAGGGCTTTTAGGAGGGAGTTAAGGTTAAATGAGATTCAATCAGATACGATTGGTGACCTTATAAGAAGAGGAAGACGATGGGAGCACACACAGAGAAGGTGGCCATTTGCAAGGCAGGAAGAGAGCCCTCACCAGAACCCCATCCATGTTCTCGGACTTCCAACCTCCAGGGTTGTGAAAAGCAAATGTCTGTTGTTTATGCCGCCCAGTCTGTGGGATCTGATCGGGGCAGCCTGAGCAGACTAAAACAGGAGGTGAGTGCTTCATTCCAGAGTGGACCTTTGAGCTGTACCTTGAGAAATGAGCAGAAATTTGCCAGAAGGATAAGGAAAAAAGGCCTTTCTAGGAGGGGGGAACAGCAGGTGCAAAGGTGAAGAGGCTGAGTGCATGGCCTGCTCTGGTAACAAAGGACATGATGTTTGACTGGCTGGGGTATAGGGCGAGCTGGGGAGGGGCTCAGATAAGGCTGGATCCACAGACAGGGCTGGGTTGATGGCCAAGGCCATTCAGGTGAAGGAAAATGCCTTACCTTACAGGCATTTGTCCTCTGGTGTGTAGCAGGGGAGATTCTCTGTCCCATTTGGTTTTCCTGAGAGGCTATACTCTGGCAAGAGTGGGGGAAGTGGGAGTTGGTCGATGAGACACAGGCACACCCTGTAGGGTCAGAGGACAGGACGGATTTGAACAAGATGTCAGGACTGAATGCCTGTACTGGCTGGGGTAACCTCTCCTGACGTATATGATATCCTCCTTAAGCCCCTGGGAGGTCACTGGGGACTTACCTGCAAGTCACTACCTGTCTGCTTTGTGGTTCTGGAGGAAGGACTTGGCCCAGGGGCACTTACCAAGATCCACCTGCTTTTCCTTTGCAGTTTAACAGAGTACCTTGGGATGAGGAGGAAGTAGTCTAGAGGGCAAGTAGTGGGTCCCTGGGTGGGCTGGACAAATTCTCAGAGGTGAGGGGCTGTTAGGAGTTACCTGTGGAATAAGTGTCCTGGAGCTGTCAAATCCTGAAGCAGGAGTTGGTGGGAAATCTGGGTGAGCTGCCTCGGTTGGAGCCTCTTGACAAGGGAGGTGCCCATGAAGTAAGGGAGACTCAGCCATTGGTTATCTGTCAGTATGAGAAATGGGAATGAAGGGGAATCTCCTGGGAGAGAAAAGGCTCCTTGTTTTACCCTCAGTGGTGACAAATCTAGTAACAAGAGAAACTTGTAAGTCCCCTGTCTGCCCATCTTTAAGATCTGGGAACTTAGTGGTCTCTATAGAGAGAGTCAAGGGAAGGCTCTCAAATTGGCTTGCCTCACTGTGCAGAGCAGGAAGCTGATGATGCACAATGGGGACCCCAGTTTTGACAGGCTGCCAGCTACCTCTGGCCTGGCTTCGGTCACATAGGGGCCAGGGAGAGAAGAGGCATGCTCTGATTCTGGCTTTACAGAGGAGGCAGCCAGCAACAGAAATGAAGATGCAGTTAATAAGGGCACCCTGTGCTCCTTATAGGTCAGAAAGTGAGGCTCTCTGCTAGGGAGGTAGGACAGGCTGGGTGGGGAGCAGGGAAGAGGAAAAAGGGAATCCTCTATGCACAGTGGTTCTGAGTTTCGAGTTCTGCAGAATGAAGCCAGGTTCTAGAAGCATTTGCAAAGTTAACCATTTTGGGAAAACAAACAGAGCAGCCCTAGTAATTTTTTTATTTTACTTTGGTTTAACCTTCCTAGTATGATGCACAAAAAACCCCTTTATACGTAAGTTTGAAAATCAGTTGAATTCTGAAGAGGAAAAATGGCACTAATCCTTCTGATGTAATTTTCTAACTTTATCTAAAGCTGGGGTGTGGATGTAAGATCCATCACTCCAAAGCAGGAGCAATTAAGGTAAAAGGTCAGAACCACCATTTTCAGGCACAGCTGAGCTCTGGTTAGGAGCCAGGATTATTTAACAGGGTACATCTAATGCAGTTGCAGTGATTCAATAACATACTCTTAAAAGACATTCTTAAAAAGTAAACCAAAAAAAATCAACACACACACATGCACAAAACAAACAAACCAACAAACCAAATACCAGTTACTTTTTATTACAAATGCATTCTCAAATGAATTTTATACTAAGGCATTTTTTGCTGTAGGTATCAACAGGAAAAGCACACAAACCCAATGGACAAACAGTCAGAAGACTAATGTTTCTAATCAACAGATTCTCTTCTCTTGGAGAACCTCTCCTAGTCTCCCATTAAGTTACACATCTCACTGGCAGGCCCACTGGTGTGGGGGACTCTTCAGACCCATTAAAACCCCTACCTCATCAGTTACTTGCTGGGTGGGCTGGGACAAGTTGCTGAATTTCCCAGAGTCTCTGTTTTCTATAAATTGGGGACAATAATTCATTGTAGGGCTGCTAGAGGGATTAGGGAGAATGTATATGCTGAGGCCAGTTCTTAGTATGCTGTGGATGCTTGCTTGATAATAAGGGCTTGTTGCATTTTTCTTACCATCCAGAAGCACACTTTTAAGGTTCTACTTTTCCCAGAGCCTTTGCATATTAAGGAACTCATTGCAACACAGTTATCAAATGTCTGGAGGTATATTAAACCAGGGCTCTCAACATCATCGTTCACCTAGAAATCATGGCACTCTCTGCAGAATGTTCTAAGGCATCATTATTTCATCAGCATGAGCTAGAAATCATTTAGCTGTTAGGAAACATAACTGTATTGTATGGATATCATATAAAATCACAACTGTGAGCGTGTATTAAAAAAATCCTCACTGTCGAATTCATAAGAATCTGTTGTTTCCAGCTTTCTGTCAATATTCCTCTACTATAACATGTGATTTCTTTCCTTGATTGCCATTTATCTATTTTATTTGCTTGCGCCTGCAATCGGAGAAGCAGCAGCAGGCACCAAAGATCCTAGAAAAAGAAAATTCAAAGTTTAAATTCAGGGGCTGAGGTTGTAGCTCAATGGTGGAGCCCCTGCCTTGCACGTATGAGGCACCAGATTTGATGCTCAACACCACATAAAAATAAGAAAAAGGTCTTGTGTTTATCTACAACTAAAAAATAAATATAAAAAGTTAAAATTCAGAACATTCTTATCCATTTTTGTTAACTTTGTTTAGCAAATTGGAGAAAGCTCTTTGCTATATTTTGGTGGAAAACTCCTTGGGTAGATGATGGGCCCCAGAGCTCCCCATCTAGCATTTGGGAAATAAGCAGTTGACGTGGGCAGGTCCCTGCCACCCTGTGGAAGGATCCAGGACTAGAATACAAACGGCAGCCCCCATCCCATCTGTTTGAATATTAAAAGTTACCAATCAAACTAAGAAACTGTTAGATAAAATATGTTCTGCCTTAACAAATACATCTTCAGAATGTCCTAGAAGACCAGATTTAAATTTTGAATTTGACTCTAGAACATTATGATGTAGGGAGAACCAGCCACCCCCACCCTTCTCGTTCCCTGTCCCACTTCCCTCCAGGAGGGTCCTTAGATCCTTGGTCAGGCAGGTGTGGGTGCTCAGCACAGTGCTCAAATGCTGCGCATACCTCTTGAAAATTGTCACCTGCCTCCCCTTGGGCCTAGAGATGTGCACGCAGGCCAACACCTAGTGAAGAGACTCAGGGAGATGCTCAAGGGAAGGAGCACCAGAGGAGGGTGTGAATGATGCCCTCTAATGTGGGGCTCTTATGTCTGAAACTGGGCACACCCCAGGTGGAGTCCCAGCCCCCCCCCCTCCCCGTGAGCCTGTGCTCACTCAGTGCAAGCAGGAGAGCAGTGATCCTCCTACCCCTGCTGTGTCTCAAGGTCCCTGCTTCTGTTGAAGGACCTGGCAGTGGGAGAGACCCTTATACCTGCATCCCCAGTTCGTCCCTCTTCTCCATCTTGCCATTGAGAGATTGTAGCCACCACCCTTGGACCACTGCCACAGTCTCTTAACTGGTGTCCCTGCTGCTGTCCTCAACTCCTTGCCCCCACCCCAACTGTCCCTATGGAGCACCCCTAGTATTCTTTGAACGGTGCACTTGGGTCACACCACCTGTCTACTTAAACCCTCCCCTGACCACCCATGGATGTGGAAGAAATCCAGGTAGATTCGCCAGGCCTCAGGGCCCTGCACAACTTGGCCCTCATCTCTCCTCCAACTCGCCTTCTCCCTGGCTCCCCACTATGCCTTTTGCCAAGCAGAGCGAGTCCCAGGCAGGTGCTGCACTTCGCTCTTCTCACGCTCCGAAGTGGTTGGCATGGCTCCTTCCTTCCTGTCATTTGAGTGTCACCTTCTCAGAAAAAGCTCCTCTCAGGTACTGTGCCACACACTAGCCGCCCCTCCCCCCTCGCTCCCGAGGGCCCCTGTGAGTTTTATTTTCCTCATAGCTCTCTCAGAAAAAATGGCCTTGTTTACTTATTTTACTTGTTCCTTATCTGGCTTCCCCCACCAGAATGCCAGCTTCACAAAGGCAGGGACCTTGTCTGTCCTGTTCTGCATATTTCCAGAGCTAGAACAGGCCTTGGCCGAGGGTAGAGCCTCAAATATTTGTTGAATGAACACAGAATGGATTCTATTGAAGAAAACTGCTATCCAGCCACCCTCCTAGAACTCAGCTTGTTCCCAAGCCCAGGAGGGCTGCTCGAGGGTGGCCCTGTAGGATGTTGGAGAAGACCCGACCCCCTGGGTCAAGGCTTCCAGGGGCAAACCCAATCCAGAGCTTCCTCAAACAGCTCCAGGCAAGACTTGCCAGGGCTTGGAGAGTCTTCACAGAGCCTTTGGGCTAACTTGAAAGAGGGCCCTCCCTTAGGCAGATGGGGCCCCCAGGGGCTTGGCCCAGCAAAAAGTGCCTTTGTCAGAGGAAAAAGGATCTCTTTCTCTGGGAAAGTCCAGGCAGGACGCAAGACCTGGGAAATGGAAGCCCCCTGAGTTGGGCCCTGAAGTGCCCCTTAACGGGGCCCCAGAGCACTCTCTATCCATAGGGCACGGCAGGGCCAGGCTTAGTTCTTGGATGGAGCTGAACATCAGTCTCACCTGAGCAAAGAGGTCTGCCTCCCTGCAGGCTCCTGTGGGAGGCTGGGGCTGGGGCTGCACTGGCATGTGAAACTGACAGGCCCTGGCTCTGTGCCCACTCCCACTCCTGCGCACCCTCCATTTTGACCCTGTTCCTTCTCCTTGTCAACTTCAAGGATTTGTACCTCAAGTGCATCTAAAAGAAAAAAGGAAAAGTCCTAAACGAGATAAGGAGCCAAATTTTCTGAAAAATCAAAATAAAGAGATATTTTGGTGCATCTTGTGATTAAAATCGGTTCCATTGAGTCTACGCCCCTCAATATTCTGTATAAAATTCCCCAAGTGCCGACATCAAAGTATGAGAGAAATGAACTGCACATAGTGGGCTGTTTGCTACATTTCCAAAAGCCACATCTGTTCAAGCACATTAATTGGGTTTTATTTTGCACAAAGGGAGCCATTACCAGGACCTACCATGGCCTAAGGTGATATGTTATCAATTTACAGATTGAAAAACCAGATTGCAGCTGGGCACAGCATTGCACACCTGTAATCCCAGAAATTTGGGAGGCTGAGGCAAGAGGATTGTAAATTCACGGTCAGCCTCAGCAAATTTAGTGAGGTTATAAACAACTTAGTGAGACCCTGCCTCACAATAAAAAATAAAAAAAAGATCTGGGGATGTAGCTCAGTATAAAGCACCCCTGGGTCCAATCTAGCACACACAAAAAAAGAAAAAAAAAACAGATTGTAAAAGATTGCAAATGTATCAACATCCAGAATAAATCCTTAACTGAAACAAAGGAAGTTGCAGAATAGCATTTAAATTCCACTTTGCTGGAGGAAAAAACTCATTAAATATATATTTCCAGATGTATAGAAAAAAAAATGGGAGAACCACACACCAAACAGTTAACAGTGGTTCTACCTTTGTAGGGAGAGGGATAATGCATACTTTATAATTTATAGACTTAGGTATATTGGACTTTCTAAACAGATGAGTATGCATATATTACTTTTACGGTTTTATAAACTATAAAAATGCTTTAAGTCGCCTTAATTTTATAGTTTTGTAATTTTATAGTTTTGTAAACAATAAAATATTTTAAGTCACCTTAATTTACAAATATAAAATGCTGCCATGGATTGCATAGTTTTGTAATAACTTCAAAATGCTTCCAATGATCATGTTTTCCAAATAAAAAATCTGGGAACATGCTCTAAGAATAGATTTATTTTTCTGATTTGTGAGTTTTCTCATATGAAGAATCATGCCCAGTTATAGACAATAAATCACATTTATTTTACATTTAACAAGTCATCTTTAAAACAAAAAAGTTCATTTATTAATGCATAAAACCTTCTACAAATCAGCATGTAAGAGAATCACAATCCAAAATAAAATTGGAAAATACTGAGTTTATTTAAAGAACAGTAAATGCAAATGGCTTTTAAACATATTTAAAAGTGCTAACAATCTGAATGAGGAATATAAAAATTAAAACTAAAGCAGTTGAACAAATCAAGATGAAAATACCTGATAATGTGCTATACTAATAAATGGATAGGGCAACCAGGTAGGATTACATACTGATGCAAACTCTCTGGAGGACAATTTAGCAATCCCTATCCAATTTTAATGTGTCATTTTCTTTTCACCTAGCAATTCCACTTCTATAAATTTAATTCCATAAACTCTCATATATACACAAAAAGGTATAATTGACCGCAATATTGTTTACAATTGCAAAAGATTGGAAAGAAAGGAATGTCTGTAACCAGAAGGCTGGTTGAATAACCATGGCCAGTTAATACTCTTCAGTGTCTCTGCTAAAAAAGAGGGGGTATATGGAAAGACCTCTGGTGTGTTTATTCACCGCTCATATGTATTTATTATACACATGTATACACATGTATATATGGATTGGGAACCATGCTCTAAGAATGGATTGTTGACTGATGTGTGAGTCTTCTCATATGAAGATCACAGTTACAGACACTAAATCACATTTAATTTTACATTAAAAAATTTATTTTAGTTGTAGATGGATACAGTACCTTTGTTTATTTTTATGTGGTACTAAGGATCAAACCCAGTACCTCGCATGTGCTAGGCAAGTATTCTACCACTGAGCTACAACCCCAGCCCCTTAATTTTACATTTAACAAGTCATCTTTCTGTTAAAGGAAAAAAATCTTACTTATTTATACACAAAGAACTTCTGCAAATCAGTATGAAAAAGAATTGTAACCCAAAAGAAAATATAGAGAATAAACATGATAGACTCTGTGTGTGTGTGTGTGTTTATACACATATGTATACACATAGACCATGCAGAAAATGTGTATAACATGTTCCATTTCTGCAAAAAAGTAGGGGGAGGGCCTAAAACGATGCTTATCTCTGTCCAGAATATCTGAGGAAGAGGACATGAGCAGGAACAGTATAAGAAAAAAGACTTGAAATTGGGTGAGAAGTTTTTATTGTGCATTAAGATAAATAAAATAATTAAACCGTGAATAATAATGAATTTGGGTTGCTCCCCAAATCCCAAAGCATATGATTGCTGCATGTACCCTAAAAGCACTAGCCTTAGGATAATGAGGATTCTTTTTTAGTTTTTATAGAGTTGAACAGAACCAAATGGACCCATAAAAGACTTCATGGTACTTTATTTTCATTGGTGGCCCCCAGAAAAAATCTATAAACCAGTCACTTACAGTAAAGCTCTTTCCCTCGACATGGAACTGCGTTTCCTGTTCGTACTGATTTAGCAGTTCAGGGACTGTGGACGGGGCAGGACTGGCCCATCCTACTTCTCCAATTGGTCTTGTTTCTACCGCTTTCAGTCAAACTTCCAAAGGTCGCTTGGAAAGCACACAACCCACTAAGCTATCCAGACAACTCCCTTTTGGCTGGGTTACTGCCCCCAGCCTGGATCCCAAATGTGGAGTCCTGGGAACCAGGAAAAAACACTGCTATAGATCCTCCCCTCTGCTTGGCCAACAAGTAGAGGTGACACTGACCCAAGGGGAGTTTGCACAAGTACATCTTTAGAACCCAATTTTAAAAATGATTAGAAAATCTAGCTCACATTCCAAATGCAGTTGTTTTTATCTTAGTCAAGGTGCAATAACAGTTAAACAAAAACCAGCATGAGTCACACTCCTATAAAACTGTCCGCTTCCAGAGTTCAGGGTTTCTGTACATGAGGGGAAACTCAGAGTTGGTCAGCACAGAAAGGAGATGTTCTAGTCTTTTACTTTTCTGGGGGAAGTTATTATAAAACAAGCAGGTCCCATGGAATGTGCCCAATGGCTCACTGACATGGAATGTACTCTCTGGGTGGATGTTGATTGAATTCTTTGGTTGCCAGGCACCGTCTGACCCTCCTTCCAATGGGGGGGGGGATGGTTCTCTTTAGGAGTCCCATCTCCCCGTGCAGAAAGCAGGAAGACCCTCACACAGTCTCTCTCTCTCACAGCTGGCATGAGGCAAGCAGTGAAGGATCTGATAACACACACCCCAACTAGAGCCATCAGGGCATGCGTGCAAGATGTGAAAGAGCAGGCGACACCGGATTCTACTTTGCTAAGGGCAGCCAAGAGACAGTGTCTGGCATGCTTCAGCTATTGGAACTGGCCATGTGGTCTCCAGGCTAGATCCTCTGGCTTCCCTAGAGAAGCTGCCAACTTCCTAACATCCTCTAATGCATTTATTTTCTCTTTAATTGGAGTGGATTCCTGGTTATGCCCAACTGGGATAAACCTCTGACTCAGATGACTAACGAGGACCTGGCCAAGTTCAAAGCCACAGATGACTCCTTCTACCTTCTCCCTCCAGCTACCATCTTGATCCTGAAAAGTTGCCCTCTTTACAAGCCATTTCTCACAACCAGGGTAAGAAAGAAAACGGCCATGAACTCAGCAGCTGGTTTGCATACCACTTATGCACAGAGACTTTGGCAAGCAGTGTAGCCTCTCTGGTTGGGTTTCCTCATCTTTTTCAAATGGAGATATTATAGCCAACTTCTCCATACAGTTGTTGTAAGGATTAAATAAAATACCAATTAAGAGCACTCAGATAAATGTTAAGGATGAACTCTCCCAGCAAGTTTAAATAAACAAACAAAAAAATAATACTAAGAAGAAATCTCATGTAGGGAGTTAGAAAATTCATTATTAAATGGGATAAAAATCATAATCCCTTGAACAACTATATCAGGGATTTTTGTTTTCTGGCCATAGACTTGTTTAGAATCCATCAACAGAAATTGAAGAATTTATTCAACCCTGGATGAAATCTAAAAGTCAACTACCTGAAGATACTAGAAAATTTACAAAAGCAGTTAGATGCTGACATTTGGAAAAGGGGACATCGTAGAGTCTCTTTCTTTTTAGATAGCATTTTGCCTGCAGATAGGTCCCAGTCTGCACCAGGAAAACCTGCAATATTATTAGCTTGATGAACCAGAGGATACTGATCTGGATAACCATCATCACTAAAAAGTGAAGGGAGAGACCCAGGAGAGGAGATAAAGAATTCAAGTGTAAACTATGTATGTCTCTGGGTCGATCCATAAACTTCACATGTATGAGGCAGACACCAAGCAATCAGACATGGCTAGAATAACTGAACTTCAATTTGAGCTACCACCCATCATAGGTTGGGGGGGTTGCGGAATTTACAGGTTGAGTTCAATCAAGTTAATTCTAAGTTAAAACCAAATCAATATTCTTCAGAGGAACATAATGGAATCCAGTGCCTCTGCAATGTCTTATTCAGAGTGTCCAAGATACAAAATTCCCCAAAGTACTGAAAACCAACAAGATGTGACTTATTCTAAGGGACAGGACAGTTGATAGAGACTAACTTCAAGATGATTCGGACCCTGGATTAGCTGAGATTTTAAAGTGGCAATTATAACTAAGCTCAGGAACAGAAGGGACTATATTTGCCATAAATAAAATTATAACTATTCAAAAGAGCCCAAATGGAAATTTTGTGAAAGAAAATTTCAATATCAGAAATAAAAATGTACTAGATAGTCTTAAGAACAGAAGAGAGATGATGAAAGAATGAGTCAATGAAATTATGAAATCTCAATAGGAATTATCTATTTAGAAGCATATATGTATTTCTTTAAAAGACTGAAAAAATTAGTTGTTCTTCACGGTCCAATGGGACAATACTAGGTCTAAAATCCATGTCATTAGAGCCCGAGAAGGAGAGGAGACAGGAAAAATGGGAAAGAACATGTTTGTAAAAATAATGGCTAAACTTGGGAAAGACATACATTTATAGATTCATAGAGTTCAGGCAACTCCCAAGTAGGATTTGAAAAACGACAGCAACAGTAACAAGAATAACACACCTAGGGATATCATAGTCAAACAATATAATCATAAATAATTATACTTATTGATATTAAATAAATATAAATCTTGAACACAGTCTTTTATGCAGGGGTACAAATGATCTGGGGCTTCTATCAAAAACAAAGATGCTAGAAGATACCAGAAAAATGTCTTTAAAATACTGAGAAAAATTCTATCCACCTGGAATTCTATATCTAGTAAATATACCACTTAAGAATAAATATGGAAAAATATTTTTAGGTTAAAAAAAAAAGCCCTAAGAAATTTGTCAGCAGCAGACCTGCATGACAAGAAATGGGAAAGGAAGTTCTTTGGGCCGAAGGGAACTGAAACCAGATGGGAACTCAGATCTACAGAATGGGATGAAGGTCTTTGGAAATGGTAAATGTGTGGATAAATGTAAGAGATTGTTTTTTTAAATATGTATTTTTTTTAGTTGTACAAGGACACAATATCTTTGTTTTATGTACTTTTTTTTTTAATGTGGTGCTGAGGATCGAACCCAGGGCCTCATGCATGTGAGGCAAGCGCTCTACCACTGAGCCACAACCCCAGCCCAAGAGATTGTTTTTGTACTCTTTTTAATATCTTTAAGTTACAAATAATCATCTAAAGGGAAATTTATGCTCTTGTATTATGGGGTTAGTAGCGTCAGTAGGTACGATAATCACGGCAACTATCATGTAAAGAAGAGGATATGCAAACAGAGCCGGGGAGTCGCAAGCTTCCTACATTTCATGTGAAGGGATGCAACGTCGACTCTCAGCCATCTGTGAAAAGTGAAGAATGTATATTGTAAATCTAAGGCAAAGAGGTACTGCTACAAAATCAATGAATATGTTAAAATGGAATTCTAAAACAAGGAAGGAGAAGAAATAGAATGAAGAACAGAAAAAAAACAGTAAAATTATAATCTTAAGTCTAAAAATATAAGTGTTCTAATTAGAAGTCAGAGGTTATCAGAATGGATAAAAAGGGAAGAGCTTTTTTTTTTTTTTTTGCAGTTCTGGAGATTGAATGCAGAGGGGTACTTTACCACTGAGCCTCCCTACCCCTTTTTATTTTTTATTTTGAGACAGGGTCTTGCTAAGTTGTTGAGGCTGGCCTCAAACTTGGGATTCTCCTGCCTCAGCCTCTTGAATCCTCTTGAGATTATAGCCATACACCATGGTGACCAGCATGAGGCCCAATTATATATAGTTTATAAGCAACCTGTTTCAACATAAAGACATTAGTAGGTTGAAAATCAACAAATGAATAAATATATATCATATAAACCTTAAAGCTGGGCGTCTGGGTGCCCACCAGTAATCCCGGCAATTTGGGAGGCTGAGGCAGGAGGATCCAAGTTTGATGCCAGCCTCAGCAACTTAGAGAGTCCCTGTACAACTGAGTGAGACCCTGTCTCAGAAACAAAAGGGGCTTGGGTTATAGCTTAGTGGTAAAGCATCCCTGGGTTCAATCCCTAGTATCCCAAAAAACAAAAACAAAAATGAAACAAAAACATCTTAAGCACAAGAAAGCTGAAAGGGCTATAAAAATGTCAATAAAATAGTCTTTAAGACAAAGAATATTCCTAGGAAAAGGGATATTTCATACTGATAAAAAGGTCGCTGCATTATAAAGATATAACCATAAACGTATATGAACCTAATAACAGCCTCAGAATACATAAAGTAAAAATTGGTAGAACAAAAGCATACGAATGAAGTTGGAGGGTGGGAGAAATTTTTTAATTTTATACTTCTTATGGTATAAATTTTAATACCAAATGCATGTTCTTTTTCATCCACTTTTTTATGGGTGCATTGTAGTCGTGCATAATGGTGGGATTTGCTGTCACATATTCATACACACACACACTGTAACCGTATCATTTGACACTATCACTCCCCAGCACTTCCTGCTCCCTCCCCACCTTGCAGCCCTTGGTCTCTTTCCTCTCCTGATTTTCATGAGATCCCTGCCCCCACATCTTCTTTTTTCTTTTTCCTCTCTAGCTTCTTTGTATGAGAAGTAACAGATGATTTTTGACTTTCTGAGTTTGACTTGTTTCACTTAACATGATGGGTCTCTAGCTCCATCCATTTTCCTGCAAATGACACCATTTCATTTTTCTTTATGGCTGAGTGAAACTCCGTTGTGTATATATACCACATTTTCTTTATCCTTTCATCCACTGGTGGACACCTAGGCTGGTTCCATAGTTTGGCTATTGTGCATTGTGCTGATAGAAACGTTGGTATGCACGTATCCCTGTAGTAAGATGGCTTTAATTCTTCGGGGTAAATACCAAGGAGTGGTATATCTGGGTCATATGGTGACTTCATTCCTAGTCTTTTGAAGAACCTCCATACTGATTTCCATAGTGGCAGGACTGA